AAGTGTGCTCAGTAAATCAATGAGCTGCACCGAAAACTGCAACGCCTGCAGCCGGCATAGGTCAACAGAAATTCATCATCTCCAGATTCATCTCCATGACAACTCCCGACCACACGTCACACAACCAATGCTTCAAAAGATGAATGATTGGGGCTACGATGATTTGCCTCATCTGCCATATTCACTTGACCTGTCACCAACTGATGACCACTTCTTCAAGCATCTTAACAACTTTTTGCAGAAAAAATGTTTCTACACCCAGCAGTTTGCAGGAGCTGCTTTCCAAGGGTTCACCGAATCCTGAAACACAGATTTTTACACTACAGGAATAAACAAACTTATTTCTCATTGGCAAAAATGTGTTCAATGCAATGGCTCCTGTTTTAATTAATAAAGAAGTGTTTGAACCTCGTTACAGTGATTTAGAATTCATGGTCCAAAATCACAATTTCTTTTGCACTAACCTTATATTACAAAGTATAGATTTTAATGTTCTCACCACAAGAAAAAAAAGATCAGCGATGAGATGGTCTATGTTGATTGGCTTGACTGAATCTACAGTGCGTACATAGATCAAAGCAGTACATAGCGGGGACTAGCAGTTAGTGTAATAACTATGTTGCTGGACTCCCATGTAGTCCACCGCGGTTCGAGGCCCAGACCCGGAGGCTTAAAAAACTCACGCCGGGCGCGTGTGCGTGCATGCCCAAGATCCTGAGAGGAGAATGGAGGAGAAGGGATTGTGGTATGGCCATTCCCCCAGGGGGTGATTTCTCGCTTTCTGTCTCTCTGTCTCTGTCTGTCTAGTGAGCACACATGCCCTATGGCAAAAACCTCTCAAAAAAACAAACAAACAAACAAACAAAAACCCAGCACATAGCACCCCATACATAATATGCAATTATTGTTTGATTTAAATAAATACAATTTTATGAAGGTAAAGAAGACCCTGGTACAACCCTCACTTTTGTTTGGCATTTTATCTGAGGCTGAATTCACCTCCTAAACGAAGACGAGCTCAAAATAGACTGAGTCAGAGAAAAAAGTGCCTGGCATTTTGGCAAACATGTTTCTTTTTATTTTCCAGGGACAACCCGCTGAGAAAGGTCAGGTAAATGAAGAACCAGGAGGGTGGAAAACAAGACTGCAGAGACAGGAGGCGTCAGCTTGGGACCAGGACAACGACAGGCCCAGCGGGAGGAGAGTTGGCTTCTGGCCAGGCCAGTAGCCTCAAGAGGGGCGACAGACCCAGCAGGAGGAGAGCTGGCTTCTGGCCAGGCCAGTGGCCTCAAGAGGGGCTCAGGCTCTTCAGTGGGGACATGCCACCTCTTGTCAGGGTGTTAGTCCCAGGTCACGACTCTCCACATCGGTCTTGAGATACTGTACACGCCCAGCCTATAGGTTCTACCGAAGACTTCCATGTTTGAGGCAGTCTGGGCGCACATGACTCTACTGTGAAAACCCAGGAGATGAACGAGTACTGACATCTGTACTGACCGAG